CTATAATATCATAGCAAGTTGGCTTCAGAGATACAGACTATGATCACTCTTACTTTGAGTTTCTCAGCTCTGCAAAGCATTTTTATAGTTTCTTACTTATTCCTATACTATAAACATACACTTATCCTCTGAAATACAAAAACGTTTTTTTACTGAACTGTTTTCATATTATCAATAACCAAGTGCTAAATGTCTTTGACACTAAGCAGAGCATGTATCAACTTACCAAGAGTTCTCCCATGTGAAACATCTGTGAAGTACAAAAAACCAGGATATACACACACTGAAATGGAGGAAGGATCTGAATAATTGTAGGACCACTGGGTCACCAAGTTTTTTTGCAGGAAAGTAACAATAAACTAGACCACAACAAATAAAATTTATGATCAAGCACAGCTGGAGTACAACCCAGAATCAGAGTAAAAGTCAATGGACTGGATTCATTGGAGAAAAAAGTGTTTGTTTGTTTGTGATTAAGCTACACAATGGACTATCTGTGCTGTACTCCTGTGAGTATCAAAACCTGTTTTGTAGAATTATAAGTCTATAGACTTACCTTTGAAATACTGGGGATAAGAAAAGAGTGGAACAGACCAGCCAAATAAGAGACTGGACCATAAAAGGATACTCAGAAAAAAGCATTATTCTCAGCAGAGTATCTCATTATTCTATATACCTTTTAATTAAGACTTAAGACATAAAATAGGAGTCAGCATATATGCACCTGTGGAGTCATCATATTCTCAGGTATGATTATAGGTGGTGGTGTAACAGATAGCCAGGGTAAGAGTGCAATGCAATGTTTTGCAAATGTAGTGTAAAATTATCAGAGGAGTAGAGCCAGTAATAGCTAATGACTGGATAAGTTACAGGGGCTATACTCCCTGCATTCACATCAGAAAATGCCAGCCAAGTCAACAAGCACTCAAGAAGAACCAAAAAAAAAGTCCTGGGCACACCTAAGGATGGGCTCTACAAGTTGAGAATGGTGCAATAGAAACAACAAATAGGTTAAAAAAGATAAAGTAGTAAGGTGTTCCCCATCCTAGTTAGAGCTATGAGACATCATATGGAGAATGGTCCTCATATCTTAGATGTCTTGAATGCTATGTAAAAACATACACACATCCTCCATTCCATTTCCAGAGGACATTACCCTCTGATGGAGAACCAGTGTAAAGGGTGGAATCTTGTCTAGTACATTTACTGTAGAGGTATATGCAATATGCAAGAGTCCCATCTGAATGAATCCATTTAAACACAAAGCCATATATTATAGGAAAGTGTAATTTTTTTT